GTTAATGGAATTACACTAAACTTAGGGTTTATCGATCCCAATTCGATTTGGGGTAATAGCAAAGGACAATGCAATCTTTGGATAACCCAAAACTACCCGTGTGTTTAGGGATTAGAGATTTCGTCAACCTCAGTTTAGTGATTCCGTCAATCCGATTAAGTGGTTTATTCAATTCGACAATTTTATATACTTAATGTATTAATAGACCAAAATTTAATAAACCATGCATTTTATTTCCAATCAAATAACATTGGATATGACCCCAACTTGGATTAGCATAGGTGGCTGCGATTTACTTCCACATCTCTCTTGCAGATTTGGTGATGGAGAACAACGGCTGAATAAACGGTGAGAGAGATAGAAGAAGAGCCGCATATATAGATTAATTTGTCTTGCCGTCTTTATCTGTTGTAGGCTGGATTTGGTATAGTTTGATTGTTTGTCTTGGTGGTCTAATCTAGTTGGACTGTAGAGCCTTCGAGGTATCCTGCTAGCTCGTAACCGTTGAGAAGGGCATAAACTTGTAGATTCCAAGTCATGTAGTTGGTGGAGATGAATTTAGTCACATTGCTCATGTTGACATGAAGAATAGATTGCGTGGCATCAAAAATTTCAGCAGCCATGAGGAAACAGAAGAGGATCAAGTGAAGAGAAAAACGACGAGGGAGACTGCTGAAATTATTTTTTAGGGTATCGTTTATGCTCTTGATGTATGTAGAGAACTAGATTTTACCCTGTGGTATACCACGTGTCTAGTATTTTATGTGTATATGTTATGTAAAAGTTTAACCGTTATGGTTTATATATACGTAATATGTTGTATGATAGTGCATGTAAATGTGTGTCTATCTTTACATGGTTTTTTTGAAAATAGTATATGAAATTAATAAAGGATGATTTAATGATAGTTTGCAGTTATAGTGGCTAATAATATCTGTAATTAATGAAATAGTTTGTAAGAAATGATTTGAATTTACACTTTCCTGATGGGTTAAGTAGAAGTGTGTAGTTGTACCTCGTGGTTTTTGCATAGCAAACTTAATGGGCCCGATGCATAATGTGTCTTTGGTTTACTGTATCTAACAACGAAACGTACATGCACAAAATTAACATTTTTACGTTTACACGATCTAAATCGTTGCCGATCTAAAACGATTGGGTCATCAAATTTTTCTTTCTTGTTGAACAAAAGAGTTTGTCCAAAATATAAAAGATTTACCCCATGGTACACCAAAAATATACTTTAAAAAAAAATTTGTATATAAATTTTGTGATTTTGTATTATAAAATGATTGAGTATGATATTCAAATTTATAATGAACAAAATACATTTATTTAGTAACTACCAAACAGTAAAAGTTGTCATCTTGTATCAAATTCTAATATTTTTAATATATTTTCAAATATGAAGTTTGACTAATTTGAGATATATATATATATATATATATATATATATATATATAGTTAGTTGTAGTATAT